ACACCACATCACACCACACCACACCACACCACATCACACCACACCACACCACACCACACCACACCACTACCACACCACACCACACCACACTACACTACACCACACCACACTATACCACACCACACCTGTGCAATTGCATTGCGTTGCCCATTGCAATTGCATTGTATTGCCCTGTTGTGACCTGTGATTCTTAGCCTTCGCAGGTGTGTGTGGTCATCTGCCTTACCTGCATGTTTATTCTTTTATCTCCTGCCCTTTTTCCTGCGTTGCTCATCGTACTCTTTACATGCCCCTACTGTCTCCCATTGGTGCTATGTTTGTGTGTGCGCGTGCGTTTGTGTGTGTGTGGGTGGGTGTGTGGTTGTGTGTAGGTACGGTGATCAGTCTATTCAAGAAAGTTTTAGGCGCACGTGAGGTGGCGTTACAGCTACACCCGAACTTCAACCAAGAGGAAGTGAGAGACTTTGACAACACACAGGACGTGCCAGACGATGTGGTCCACAAGATCCGCACCACCTTCCCTCTGGCGAGTTTAGCGTATGAGGGCAAGGCCAAGATAGTCAAGAAACTCGAAGACGTATGTTAGGTGTGATTGAATACGTATGGGAGGTGTGCGTAAAGATGTATATTATGTGTGAGTGAAGATGTATGTTATGTGTGAGTGACGATGTATGTTATGTGTGAGTGAAGATGTATGTTATGTGTGGGTGAAGATGAATGTGGGGTGTGAGTGAAGATGTATGTGAGGTGTGAGTGCAGTTTTTGTCTATTATTGTTGTGGCTGTTATTGTTGATGTGTTTGTCTATTATTGCTGTGGCTGTTGTAGTTGTTGTGTGTGTTGCTTGTTATTGTGTATGTCTGTTGTTTTTGTTGTTGTTGTTGTTATTGTGTCTCTCATGGTGCTGTGGTTGTTGTTCTGTTACAGTTGGGCCATTACCTGGTGTTCTATGAAGAGCCTATTCCGGGGGATGTGTGCACTCCTGGTCACTTTGTCAGCTATGACTCCACCACAAAGACTGTCTACGTCAACGTCAAGGGAACCAGTACTGTGGACGATGTCATCACTGATCTGCTAATTGAGCCAGGTACGTTTGTGTGTGTGTGTGTGTGAGGTACGTGTGTGTTGTTCTGGCGTGTGTAGGATAGTTGTTCTGG